TAAAAAAAAAAAAAAAAAAAAAAAAAAAAAAAAAAAAAAAGCTGTTGGGTGGAAGGCTGAGGACAAAAGACTGGATTTCAAGAGAATGAGAGCAAAGGAAGTGGATGTAGGAAGTATAGACAAGCCTTTTGAAGAGTTTTGTTTTCAAGGATAGCAGACCAATGGGAGAATAGCTGGAGGAGGGTGTGGTCTTGGGAAATTTAGTTAGATGGGAGAGACTATGGCTTGTTTGCATTTTGATGGGTACAGCCAATTAGGGAGGAAGGACTGAGGGTACAGGGGGAGGACAGTTGCTGGGGCCTCGATCGCCAGGAAGCACCAAGGGCCCACTTGAGTTTAGTGTCAGGAATTTAAAGTAGGCATCAGCCAAGCCTAGTGGTGAAAGGATCTGGGAAAGGGATGGGCAGTGTTCCTCTTCTGCCTCCAACTAGGTTTGGGCTCCCCTGGTGGGGCTGAGCCAGCTGGGGTTTGAGGGGCAAGGATCTCTTGACTTGCCCTTCCCCAACCAGAGCCAGAGGGCACTGGGCTGGCCTGAGGGGCCTCCCAGCTCCTCATCTCTCCCAGGAGGATCAGAATTAACTCATAGGGAGAGAAGGCACAGTGTGGCAGGGGAAGCGCTAAGGGCTAAGCCCAGCTGGGCATCCTACTTGCTGTGCGACTTGTGCATGTCACTTACCCTCTGTGGGCCATACTTTGATTTCATCCCATCTTCCAGATTCACGGCTTAATCTAATAATGTGGTAGGTAGATTACTCCACAAGGTGGAGCTCCTAGTTTGTTTTCATGTCTACCTTTAGCAAACATTTGTCAAATCTGCCCTAAGAACAAATAAAATAGGAATATGTCACAGCAGAGCTACCGGAATTTATTAATATAATATTAATATAATATTATAAGTCATATTCTAATGTGACTCATCCATTTAAAAAATACACACTGAATGCCATCTGTAAGCCAGGCAGGCTCTGTGCTAGGGGCTTATGGCCAAGTGACCAACATCTGACACGATCCTCCCATCCTCATGGAGACCTCTGTCCAGTGAGGGTGGCAGACACGAAGCAGGTGATCACGAGAGAGAAGCCCTGAGAAGGAAATGGAGGAGGCAGCCCCCACCCCAGCCAGGAGTCAAGGCAGGTCCCCGAGGGTGGTGACAGTTGAGCTGGAGCTAATGTGGCAAAAGGGGTGGGGGCTGGAAAGCATTCTGGGCCTGGGTCACAGCATGTGCAGAGGCCTAGAAGTGGGGGGGCGGGGGGAGACAGGGAATCCAGGAACCAAAAGGTGGGGAGTGTGAAGGAGGAACAGGTGGGCAGGTGGAACCGTGTGGGACTTTATCCTGAGAGTAATGGAGAATCATGGGAAGATTTAAGCAGGAGCGTGATGTGGTCAGATTTGCAGTTTGAGAAGCTCTAGCTGCCGTGAGAATGGCTTGAGAGGGATCAGAGTGGATGTGGAGAGACCTTGCAAGGCTCCCAGAGTCATCGGGAGACAGTTGGAGGTGGCGATGGGGGCAGCAAGAGAAGAGATAGAAGCACATGGGCTTAAGAGAAACTTAGGGGTTAAAAGGAGCCAGGCGTTGGGATGAACTCTGTGAAGAGAGCGGGGTGCCCGGTGGAGAGTGGGGGCTCCTCAGTTTCTGCCCTATTCGCCTAGACTGGGGTTTGGGACCCCACTGTTCATGAGGACAGGGACACTGAAGGGGACTGGGTTTGGGGGAAAAGGAGCCATGCCAAGTTGGGGGCACGTTTGGGACATCCTAGTGGAGGTGCCAGGCAGGTCTTTAGATATGGAGGAACAGATTTGAGCAGTAACTGACCATATAGACAACAGAAGCCATGGGTTTGGAGAGAGCAGAGAGAGAGCACAGGGCCTGGGGGTTACCCCAGCTGAAGTCATCCTCCGACCCCTGCTTTCCCTGTGTTCTTGTCTCCTTACCAGGCACCATCGTCCACCCACTATCTCTTATTTTCGCTGGCTGCCCTCTGGGTATGGCAGCCAGGGCCTGGGGGCCAGTGTGTGGTTGCCGGCACTCTGCCCCTCACCCAGTGAGGAGCCTGTTCATTGTTTCTCTGATGCTCATGCAGGTTCACAGCTTGGCACCTGTCCCTCTGCCTGGAATATCCTCATTCCCTCACCCTCTTTGCTCATCAAGCTCCTGCTTATCTTCCAGGCCCCGCTCAGCAGTTGTCCCCAAGCCCATTTAACCATCTGCGTGTCTGCAGGCTCCCTACGGGCAGGGCCTGCGTCTCAACAACCTTTCTGTCCTGCAGCCCACAGCGACCTAGCTCAGAGTAAGCTCTGCTGCCAGCGGACTAAATCAGACCCCTCTGCTCTTCCCCGCAGTTCATTTCAGGCACCGACCCTTTCCAGAAGGCCCTGAGGGAAGAGGAGAAACGCCGGAAGAAAGAGGAGAAGCGGAAAGAGATCCGAAAAGGCCCGCGGATCTCGCGCTCGCAGTCCGAGTTATAGCCCTGTTGCAGCCCAGGGTTCAAGGGGCCAGGAGGAGGCCAGTTGAGAGGCGGAGGCGGAGGCAGTGTGGCCGAGGTGCAGCCGCATTGACTGGTGGTGAGAGCCAGGCCCTGCATGAGGGAGGCCACGTATGCTTGGCCCCAGCTGAAGGGACTGGGCTGAAGAGAGTCGGATTTCCTCCCAGGGTCCTCCGTGGAGGGGGCATCGAGGGAACCTTCAGAGGACACTGTGCTGCAGACCTAATTCTGTGGAGATGCTGGGGGAGGCGGGAGGGATGCAGGGCTGGACCCTCCCAGCGGGTTAGGACCGTTTGTCGGCTGGCTGGCTGCTACCCTTCATGGGGAGGTAGCAGAACCAGGCTCCCAGCCATGTGTAGAGGTGCCAAGCCTGCTGCTGGCCCCACTGTGTCACTGAGCACCCCCTTAGAGACACAATAAAAGCCAGCAAACCTAGGCCAACCACGGCTGGCTTGGGCCCCAGGTAACTATGAAGCCCTTTACAAGGCAGGTGGTGAGGGGCCTGGGTGGGGGGACCAGAGGCCCTCAGAGATGTAGAAAGCACCTTAGAGGAGGTTCCCTCCCCAGGCCCTGGCAGGGCGGTGAAGCAAGGACTTGGTTTAAGCCTCCTAATCCCTTCTCAGCACTGTCCTTGACCAAAGATCAGTATTGGGAAGGCCCTGGAAGTGTCCTGGTAGGGTGTTTAATCCAAGATGACCTTGGGGCAACATGATCTCTATCCTCAGCTATCTAGGGACAGCCATTGAGCAGGCACAGGAGACTCAATTTGTCCTCTCCGGCAACCCTGGGAGACCTTCAACCTGTAGACAGGCTGTAGACGAACAGCCTGCAGCTCTGCCGAAGCCTGCTTTGTAATGGCCGGGCTGCCTGAAGTCAGATCGGTCAGGCAGTGAGTTCCCCAGCTCAGGAGGTATGCAAGCAGAGACCTGTGGTCACAGCGCAGGGAAGCTGCAGAGGCCCTGTGTGGGAAACTGCCCTTCAGTCATGCTCTTCCCAGGCAGAGGAGGGAGGAGCTCTGGTGGAATTCTAGCTCTGTCTCTGACCTTGCTAAGCCAGGGTCTGCCTCTTCATAGGGTCTGAGAGACACAGCCATCCCAGAACCCACACCACCACTACCACCGACAACCCAAGGGAGACCCCAGTCTTGTCTCAGCCTATCAGACTTGCTGAGTGACCCTGGCCCACCCCTTTTCTTTGCTGTTGTTTCACTTGCAAAATCAATTTGATATTGTCTGAACTGCCTGCCCAGCCCTGAACTGCTTCTCCAAGGCTGAGGGCTGGCTTTTCAGGGACAGGTGCCCTTCTCCGATGGTTCTTCGTCTGTCCCATAGATTTGCTGAACACCCACTACACGCATAGCCAGTGCACCGTCTCAGCTGGCTTGAGCTCCGCCTCACCTGGTTACCTCTGTTCTCCACCGTCACCCTCTCTCTGTCTTGGCTGATACCTTCCTCTCCACCTTCAAATGATCCCAAGTTTTCCCATCTGACACCTGCAGAAAAACGAATAGAACCACCTTGCTCTCCCCGTCTCCTTCCCTTTGCTGCATCGTTGATTGTTCTCACTTGAACTCCACCTTTTGTCTTAACTGTAGGCAGAGTCTGCCTAGCTCCCCTGCCTGGAGATGTCGAGGTCCGAGTGTACGTTTGTCTAGCCTTCTTGCAGCTAGGATTCAGTAAAGTGACTGAAGTGCCACCAACCAGATGTACCAGCCTGTGTGAGTGGTGCTGCTGGAGGCAGTGGCACAGGTACCAGGGACGGCAAGTGTGTGTTGGGGGAGAGGGTTCCTAGTGGCCAGACCAGCACTAGGGGTGCCCAGTGGTGGCAACAGTGATATCGTTCGTGGTATTTTAAACATGGTCTTGGACATTGTCCCTGTCTTGGATGTGAACTTCCAATCCCAACCTGAGGCACCCCTGAAGAGTCTGGGAGCTCCCCAGTATCTTCTAAGACAGGATTTCTTAGCAGTGGCACTGTTTACATTTGGGGCCGGATAATTTTTTGTTGTGTGAGGAGGGCCATCCTGTGTGTTGTAAGATATTTAGCAACATTCTTGGTCTCTACAGATTAGATGCCTGTAGCAATCTCCCAGTTATGACAACCAAAAACATCTGCAGACATTGCTAGATGTCCCCTGGGGGCAACACATCCCTGGTCCACAGCCCTTTTACCCCCCTCATCCTGCCCCCACATCTTCCTCTGCTGTCCCCACTCACTGCCTGCAGAGAGATGCTGATGACACTTCCTTCTTGAGAGGATCCCCCCAGGCTTCTGGGCCACCGTGTTGTCCTGGTTTTCTGCCTTTGGTCTGAGTCTGCTCTGTCACTTCCTGATTCCCCTTCCCTCACATGCCCCTTAAATGAAGTGTGTTTTTGGCTTAGTCTCGCCTCTGCTCTTTTCTTCCTGACAGCTGCATCCTCTGAGACCACAAAGCTGACGGCATTTGCCCTGTTGCCATTGCATAGGCCTTAGTCCTTACGTTTCAGCCTATCCAAAACCAAACTTGTTCTTCCCCACCCCGAAACCTCACCTCTATGTCAAACCATGGGGTATGTGCTCTTGCTTAATCCTGGAGGAAATGATGTCTGAACCGATTCCTGAAAGGTTGGGGGAGGAGTAAGGAGACAGGCACTGGGCAGAGGCCTAAAGGGGAGGCATCAGAAGTAGTGAATGGGGCCGGCCGAGTGGCGCGATGGTTAAGAACTGGCTTGGNGAGGGCAGTGTCACTGGCCCTCATATGTGGGATCCGAACCGGGGCCCTCTGGCGTCCCAAGCCAGCTCTTAACCATCGCGCCACTCAGCCGGCCCAGGACTCACTTTTGATGTCCAGCATGGACCTGTCCACCAGCATAGCCGAGGCTTGCTCAACTCCCCTGGTACACTCCCTCTACACTGGTGAATGTCCCGGGAGGCCCCTTCTACTTCTTATGTAGTCATCACTAGAGCCAGCGTGGGTCAGGCTGTGTGCTGGCCCTCCCCAGCCCTTCAGATGCTCACAGTTCCATGGGGGAAGGCAGCAGGGAAACATGGTGCCAACCCAGCGTGATCATTGTGCCAGTGAAGGAGGGACTTGTTGAGCCAGGGGACCACAGAGGGGGAGTTGACCCAGCCTCTGCAGGTGGGTGGTGGAGACTCCCATCAGTGAGAGTTGCCAGGTGGACCGGCTCAGGGAAGACCTTCCAGGCAGAGGGACTAGCTTAAACAAAGGCTCAGAGGCACAGCATTTTCATTCATTCAGCATTTAGTGAGCAACATGTAGAGAAGCAGATTAGCCCTGCTCTCCTGGGAGTGGCATTCTACAATAGTTGGAGAAGACAGTCAATAAAAAATACATACTATGGTAGGTGGCGACAAGGGCTATGGAGAAAAAAGCAGGGGAACGTGGTTGGGGATTCTGGCGTGAGGTGGAGGCACAGTTGCTATTTTGTATGACTTGAACACAGGGTCTTACTGAGAAGACCTGAAGCAAGCGAGGGAGCCAGCATGTAACCTGGGGGAGCGTATTCCAGGCTAAAGGAGCAGCAAGTGCAAAGTCCCTGAGTTGGAAGCTGACTTGAAGGGGTGGGGAATGCGAGGAGGTGAGGTCAGAGCTGTGGGCCAGGTCACAAGACCCTCGGAGGACTTCTCAGTGGCTGTGGCATTTACTCTGAGAAACATGGAGAGCAGTGTGATGGGCTCTGACTTACTCCGTTAAAGGATCAGCCTGGCTGCTGTGTGGAGAATGGTTTGGGGGACCAGGGCGGAAACAGGGACACCGGTGAGGCTACTGTGCTTTTCCACTTAGGAGTTGATGGTGGCTTGAACTGGGTAACAACCAGTGGGGCTGGTGAGGAATGGTGACATTCTGGTTCTGTTTTGAATGTATAGCCAATAGGATTTGCTAAGGAAGCAGATGTGGAGTGAGAGAGAAGCATTAAGGATGACTCGAAGATTTTTGGCCTGAGCATGTGGAAGAATGGGGCTGCCATTTTCTAAAATGGGCAGACCATGATGGGAGCGGGTTGAGGGCTCGATCGGGGATTGAGACTTTGTTTCTGGACCTGGTGAGCATCTGAATGAAGATAACAGGGAGGAAATTGGCTGTATGATTCTAGATTTCAGGGGAGAGATTGAAGCTGAAGCTACAAATGTGAGAGCCATGAGGGTGAAGAAAATGTCAAACGCTGTGGCCAGGACGCCATCACCCTGGGGGTCAGGACAGATAGAGAAGTTGTGGGAAGACTGAGGCCTCCAGTTAGAGATTGGGGGCACGAGGAGGAACTAGCAAAGAACCCCAAGAAGAAGTGGTCAGCACGAGAGTAGCAAACCCAAGAAAGTTGTTTCTCAGAGGCCACATGAGGAAAGTTACAGAAAGGAGGAGTGATGGGCCGTTATATGCTGCCCGGAGGTCAAAGAAGATGAGGCCTGAGAACCAACCGGTCATTGAATTTAGCAACATGGAGGCCATCTGAGATCTTAATAAAAGCTGTTGGAGGGCCGGCCGAGTGGCTCAGTTGGTTAAGAGCTCACTCAAGAGTTTGAGCTCTGAGCAACAGCGGTTCGAGTCCAGCCCGAGCTGA